GGTGAAAAGCGTGTTCCTGCAGAGCTGACAGCAAAACATTTCCTCCGAGACGTATGGAATCGAAAGTAAAAGTGCCCGGCTGGTTAGGCAGGCCTGCCTTCCCTGCCAGTGTGTAGAGGGGGCTTCTTTCTCTGTGCTATAATTTCCTGTCTTGCTCTGTGTCTCGTCTTTCAAAACTTGCGGCTAAGCTTACTTTTTTTCTGATTGACTGTGGTATTTTTCTTATGTACCTTCCCTTACTTGAAGAGAAACCTTAGTTGCATTTCAGTTCTTGAAACTTTTGATCTAGTGGTGTGATTTCTAATCATGAAGAAGTTTGTTGCTTGCTCTTTGAGGTTTTTCAGCAGAAGTGGGACATCTTGCACACATTCTTTATCTCATGTATCTCTTTTTAAATAGAGTTGCATAAAGGATTGTTTTATGTGATCAGTTTAATTTCCAGTAGCTGTAAAAAAGGCTGTGAGAAATCTCAGTATTCTTAGTTTAATAAAGCCATAATTCTTCCCCCCCATACTTGTGTTTGCAAGGATTGAGATTCTGGTTCATGGTATTGTGGTTTCTGACAATAAGCTGTTTTTATTGACTTGGGACGATTCAAGCATAGAGACCAAGGTGTTGATGTTTATCCTTTTATTCTGAATGGTGACTAGATTAATGATGGCGAATACCTTTTATGATTCTTTGGTTTCCTTGAGAGTAAGTACATGGATGCTTTTTCTTAAATGTTGCCTCTGCATTTTAAGACCTGTTTCTTCAGTTTCTGAGCCTAGAGTATCATGAACCTAATCCTATCAGTTTTTCAAATTCTGAGATTGGTATGGGGAAAAAAAAAGTAGAAATTCAGGTACAATAAAAAATGTCTTAACCAAGGTTGAGTTAAGGTAGGTCAAATAGTGGAAAAATTAAGAGAAATAGTTTTCTCTGTAAAAATAGCATCTGTAAGTGATAAAACTAAGAAGATAGAGTGTTAAAGCACGTAATTGTCACTACAGAAATGTACTATCAAGAGTCCACAAGTGTATGGAATGCTTGTCTTGTATCTGTTTTCTCTGTCCTTTCTAATTTTCAGTGGTGAGTGCCAGTTCTTCCTGTCTATTGGCTTATGAAGTTCATGTCATTATTTCGCCTTTTCATCAAGTATAAACATTAGGTATTAATTAGAAGGTCTCTTCATCATTAAGCTTCTCTTAATGTTTTGTTACCATTGCCTTAATCTGGACCAAACTGTGTATCTTCAGCCTTACTTCTATGGAAATGAGACCCAAGCAAGCCTGCTGCCCGTTTCCATTTTTCTCTGCCTCCCACAGCTTTTGAGCCTTTCTGCCAGTTTTCATCAAATTTAGGCAGATGTTTGAAGGTATAAACTTTCTACAGATCTTGTGATAATTGGCAGCTGAGGAAAGTAACAAGGTTTAAACATTCTTGCTGAGGGAAGGGCTGGAGTGTCTGCTCAGTGGACAGTTCTGTTTTGTCTGTGCTGTTAGCTGACGCTCCAGTGCTGACTGATGAATCAGGCTGTGTATAGCTTGGAGGCAGTGACCACGCTGTCTGCCTCCTGCCATCAGTGGCTGGTAGGCATAAACAAGCTGGCGGTGGGATCAGAAGGGTTCGTGAGATAAAGAGCTGTATATGTAGCAGGTAGTGAGGGATATTGTAACATACTTGTTCTGTCATCCAGCACAGAAATCTATTATAAATGAGATGGGGGGGGTGGTTTGTCACCAGTGTTCATGGGGAAAAAGTGGATAATACTGCCTTGTGGTTAAAATCACAATGTACCCAATTATGCTCCATCCCTTTTCTTTTTATCCCATCTTCTCTGTTTTGCTTTTCTAAAAGTAAATGTCAGATAAGTCTTTAAAACAGAATTCTGAGTTCCTAAATTGAATAAGAGTTTGAGTACTGTAATGATTTTGGTAAGTGACCGTGTTGTTGAGAGCTACATGTGTAGCTGGATATTTTATTTTGTTGGGGTTTGTCTTCCAATTGTAATTGGTTACCCTACTAACAACAGGTGGGGGGACAAAGATAAAAGCTGGAGTACTGGAAAGGTGATATGTCTTTCCAGCATTTCTTTAATCAAACAACCCTTTTTTCCCCAATGTTTTCCTTTTAAACTTAGCTCCCAATTTATTATCTTTCAGAATCTAGCACTTCTTTTTAATGAATGTGTTACTCTATTTTTTTGTTTAATAGACTGAAAAACATTTTTTAATACAATTATTGGAGAGTCTCATGCAATGATCTAATGGACCTAATCTTACTAGTAAGATATTACAATGATGTTTAAATGCTAAAAGCTTCCTTTTTAAACCCCTTTTGTTAGAAATGGTGGGAGAGTTTATCTGTCTCATATTGATGGGATTTCCAATGTGGATTTGTAGTGAGAAAATTTTGATTAATAAGCTGTTATTGTTGGATTTGAAACAGACATAGACATAGAGGTTTTGCATCTTCCAGATGGATCTGTGAACAACAGGTCCCACTTAACCAGCCTACAGAGATGGAAAAATTAGTTCAGATCTTTAATATGAAGGCGTTTGGGGGGCTGCTTAGTTGTTTGGGTTTGGTTTTGTTTTGTTTTCTCCCCTATGGTTAAGTACTGATTTAATAGTAATATTGTTTTAAGATGATGTAGATCAGTGTTTTAAGATCCAAGTAGTTCTGAGATGTTGAGCTTTGAAACCATTTAGTTGTAGACATGCATTAGGGAGCCAAATTTGCTAGTACTCATTTAAGCGATGCTGATTTGATTGGTCTCGCTTCCATAAATCAGTGTCAGAAACATTTTTTCATTTGTGCTGTTGCCAGTTGCTATCGGAGGCCAAGTCCTGAATAGGTTCTCCATTGGTAGGTTGTCTCTGCCCATATCTGAATATACTGTGAATTTTTGCAAACAATTCCATATGGGATAGTCACTATCTAAGTCTGTCATCTTACTGTTTGGGAAATGGGGAAGGGAATGTGGAATACTTAGAAACAGAAATTTTCTTTAGGGTGATGTCTTATTTATAAATATCTTTCAAAATTGTTAAAAGTGATACTAGAAGCACTCTACATCAGGTTGGAATGCAAGTGTCTCATCCATTTTGTTGGGTAGATGTAGGAAATATGTGAATCTAGCATATTTTCATCATACAGCCTGAGTGAAATGTTAGAAAGGCAAAAAAAAAAAAAATTCCATAATTGAGAATCAAACTGGTGTTACTAATAAAAACCAAGTGACTGTTCTTTAGGAGGCATCACATACCATCGTGTTTCATCAGTCCTACCTCTATATGAACTTAATTTGAAGCACATGAATATGTGAAATTTTTTTTGTTTGTTTTAAGAAGTCAATTTAGCCTGAAGTAAATAAGGCTTAGGTGGTCCTAATTGCTTCTCTCAGTCCTGTCTGGCCCTCTCTCATCCCAAACATGAGTCGGCAGAATGCCCCTGCATTAAGGCCAGCTGCATTCTACACTGTAGTAACAACAGTTATCTGGCAGGTTGAGGAAGGTGAGTCTTCCCCTCTATTTGGTACTTACAAGACCACATCTAGATACCACATCCAGTTGTAGATTCTCTGTTCCAAGAAAGGCATTGACATGCTGGAGCAAGTCTACTGCAGGGCCACCAAGATCATTAGGAGGCCGGAGGACATGATATCTGAAGAGAGGCTGAGAGAACTGGGTTTCTTCATCTGTGAGAAGGCAAGGTCTTACTACTGTCTGCAACAACCTAACAGGAGAGTGTAGAGAAGATGGAACTGGGTTCTTCTCAAAACTGTACAGGGATAGGATGAGAAGAAGTGGACAGAAGATGATGAGGCATAGCAAGTTCTAGGATGATATTAGGAAAAGCTTTTTCAGAGTGTGGTTATTCAGGTAGTGGAATGGGGGCCTGGAGGGGACTGTTACATCTTCATCCTTAGAGATACTCAAAACTTAGCTAGCCAAGTTCCTCATCTGATTTAACCTGCTTTGAGCAAGGGAATGACCTCCAGAGTTTCCTTCCAATTTAAATTATTCTGTGATTCTATCCTTTTTTTTTTTTCAATATTTGTTATCTTTTGGATCCTTAGCCAAATGAAGGTAAAGCTTCGAGGGCCGAAAACCCCAAAGATGCTAAAGCTCCTACAAGTCACCAGAAAAACATTGGTTGAGTAGAAAGAGATAGAAATTGGAGCCTTTGATAAGTCTTGATAATCGAAGCGTTTCCGCTGTCATTTCCGTTTTTTCTGGTGGCAGGGAGGTTTGTGCATACATCTCAGTCAGCACAGCATGCTTTTCCAGCTGGTACTTGTGCTATACAGAAGAGTGCTTGAGATAACTGGGGAGATACTGGGAGGGGTAAGGAAAGATGGGAACAAGATGCTGCCTTTTAACAATGACAGTTGGGCATTGGAGCAGGGTGGCTGGAGAGGCTGTGCAGTCTCCTTCCTCAGCAGCTTTCAAGACTGGAGTCTAGGGTGGTCTAGGCTGCCTCATAGTTGACCCTGCTTTGAGCAGGAGGTTGAACCCCTGGAGGTCCTGTCTAACCTGCATTATCCTCTGATCCTAAGCAGAGGTAGTGGAAGGGGGAGTATTATTAGATGATGTGTGGAAAGGTCAGTGCGGTACAGGTGCATGCTGATGAATCGAATATTTTTATTAATCTTTAAGTTGGGGGTACTCTGCTTTCATCAATCTTGGATTTGGATGGACTTCTGTTTATGTTCCAAGAACGTGTATTCCTCAAGTTGTAGAAACATAAAATGCTTTTATTTCACAATTCATGCTGAAGACAACTTTGCAGTTTAACGCTATGCAACAAATGATTAGTTTTTAACCTGTTGTTAAGTCCATTCTTTAGTTCAAGGAAGCTTACCTTAAACCTGTATTTTATTCTGATGAGTCAGGCATCTGTGAATTATCTTTCTTAGTTAAGAACTAAGTAAATATGGGTGGGCTATGAAAGTGACTTTAATATATTAACAAGTTAAAAGTACTTATTTTCCTGTGATTCTGCAGACTTGCCTGGGTAACACAATGCCAGCTGAGCGCAAAAAGCCAGCAAATATGGAAGAAAAAGAATCTCCGTTAAATAATAAAGAAAAAGAACTTAGTGAAAGGCGACCCGTGAGCACCAGGGACAAGCCAAAAGAAGATGTCAAGGTTGGCATGAAGAGAGAGACTTTAAAGGTTCCTGATGATAAAAAGAAAAAACTGGAAGAGGATAAAAGAAAAAAGGAAGACAAGGAGCGGAAGAAAAAAGAAGAGGATAAAGTAAAGGCAGAAGAAGAGCAAAAGAAGAAAGAAGAGGAGGAAAAAAAGAAACTTGAAGAAGAGGAGAAAAAGAAACAAGAGGAGGAAGAGAAAAAGAAACAAGAAGAAGCAGCTGCTCAACTGAAGTAAGTTGTCTTTTGATGGTTTAATTGTGCCAAATGCTGTAGTCTTGCAATCGGGATTGTGAGCAGAATTACAAAAGATGAACTGTTTGAGTTACTTATAACACTACATACAACGCAGCCAACCAGCCATATAAAATTCATAGTGTGCTTTATGACTTCTACATGGTTTTGAGTTCTCACCTCTAACCTCTGGTAATTTAGTCTAATATGGGGTTTTGATACTGTTCTCCATGTGATGACCACATAATGCACAATTATGCTTGAATTAAGTAGTACAGTTTCTTGTAAGATGGAGAAGTGTTAGTGCCATAAAATTGGGAATACAGGCTCTAACAGGTCCACAGACCATAGTAGGAGCAAATCTACTGTGAGGGATGGCTGTAATTTCTTTTAATCAACCAGACAATTGATACTGGATGGCAAACACAGACTGTAACCTGGCAGTTTAATATGTGATATTACCAAGACAATGTTTCTTAGTATGTTATCAAAAGATACTACAGTGTTGAAGGTAGCATCTTTAGACCAATAAAGCCAAGATTTCAGACATTCGTGTGTTTGGAATATGTCACTTTCTAAAACTGTGGCAATGTCATAGCTGAATTCTAGCTGGAACAGGTGTACTTCACCTATTTAAAATTTTCTATGTGATTTCAGTAGCCTGGGAATAAAAGACTTGCCTTAACTGTGTAATACAGTAACCTGTTGAAAAGTTGTTGCCCTCTTCTGTAGGAACTTCATCTCTGTCTGGAGTAAATGGAGTCTTATGTTCATATTTTCTAAGTCTGTTGGAATTAATATGTTCTGCATAGAAATATTTGAGAAATTCCATTTTTTAACAACTAGTGCTTACCTTTTGCAGCAAAAAATTGAACGGAGTAGTTTATGAAGCAGATGCTTTAGCTTTCTAGAATTAACTTCTAAATATTTAAAAAAAATATTAAGGGGAAATAATGTTTAGAACTACAGGAGAGTGTCCAACTATGGCTTTTTTTTTCCTTTGAACTGTTATCCTGAAAGTAAGGTTCTGTAATGAAAATGACAAATTTTTATTTCTCTTAGAGAAAAAGAGGAAGCACATCAGCTCCATCAGGAGGCTTGGGAGCGCCATCAGGCAAGAAAAGAACTTCGCAGCAAAAACCAGAATGCACCGGACAATCGCCCTGAGGAAAACTTCTTCAGCAGACTAGATTCCAGTCTGAAGAAGAACACAGCTTTTGTTAAGAAGCTAAAAACCATTACAGAGCAACAAAGGGACTCCTTGTCCCATGACTTTAATAGTCTGAACTTAAGCAAATACATTGCAGAAGCAGTAGCTTCTATTGTGGAAGCCAAACTGAAAATATCGGATGTGAACTGCGCTGTGCACTTGTGTTCCCTCTTTCACCAGCGCTATGCTGATTTTGCTCCTTCGTTACTTCAGGCTTGGAAAAAACATTTTGAAGCAAGGAAAGAAGAGAAGACTCCGAACATTACCAAGTTAAGAACTGATCTGCGTTTCATTGCAGAATTGACAATAGTTGGGATTTTCACTGACAAGGAAGGTCTGTCTTTAATCTATGAGCAGCTTAAAAATATTATTAATGCTGATCGAGAATCCCACACTCATGTTTCTGTGGTTATCAGCTTTTGTCGGCACTGTGGAGATGACATTGCTGGTTTGGTACCAAGGAAAGTAAAAACTGTTGCAGAGAAGTTTAACTTGAGCTTTCCTCCTAGTGAAATAATTAGCCCAGAGAAACAACAGCCCTTCCAGAATTTGTTGAAGGAATACTTTACGTCTTTGACCAAACACCTGAAAAGGGACCACAGGGAGCTACAAAATATTGAAAGACAAAACAGGTGACACTTCAATGTTGCTTTTTATTTATGGAGAAAAAAATAGGTTATGAAATGCCTAGATTTGTTGCGATATTTGTAAGCAAAGCCTTAGTGGTGTGTAGAAGATAAGTATATTCTGCAATATATCTAAAAAAAGTTACGAATTTACTCTGAATACTTAAAGCAAAAAAACAGACTCTTTAAATATTTTTAAAGAAAATGGAGGTTGACCCTTAGCTTTAATTCTCTTAACTCTATTAGTTTGATGCTGCTCCCTTAGCAGTTTGAGAGTAATGCTTCTTTCCCAGCTGGTACTGTCCTTTTCCAGTTGGCATAGTGTGATTTCTCCCTTTCACCCACACATATCTAACAGAGCATATGCCACAATGGCTTTGGCTTGTTTACTTTTTTTTAGCGTGCCAGTATGGAGGGAAAATTAGGTTAGATTAGCGAGGTATACTTTACACTTTAATGTGGGCAAATTTTATATATTAAAATGTTGGAGAGTATAGACATTTTGATTCAAAGCCTCTTAGATGTCTGTGTAAAATACTAATATTGAAGATTATGAACATATACACCTTTGCGATCTGAAGAATTTCTGCCATGACCACGTTGCTTAATAATTGTTTGCTTTTCTTTAAAGCATCCTGAATTGTCATTATTGGAGCCAGCCTAAACCGAACTGCTGGTCTTAAAACACGGTCATTCTTAAATACTTTTGGAAGCATCCCAGGCAGACAGAAATGAACGTGTTACTGTGTGTAGGCACAGGTTTTAGTCAAAAAGCTGAACATCAGTCCAGAGCCAAATGTATGCTTGGAATACATTAAAGTTTGATGTTCCCAAACCACGGCTTTAAACTTGGATCCATTGTGCTGATGGGTATTGCACTGCAGTCCTCTCTGGTCTCAGTTAGCTAAATGTTGTATTTCAGAGGACCATAAATTGACTTCTGAGCTAGGATTATTCCTCCAAGTAGCTTATTACTTATTATTGCTTATAATAAGCTACTTGGAGAAATAATAATAACAACCTATAGAGTGTGTTATTGACTTAGTTGTCATTTTTTTAAAGTTAATGAATATAAACTTTTACACTTTCACAATTATAATTGGTTCTGAGCACATTGGTTCAGGCTGAGATTTCAATGAGTGAGTGTTATACAAGTCTGTATGATAGGAAATGAAATGGAAAACATTTTCCAAGAGGTATGAAGAATGTTAAGTAACCATGAAGAAGAAAGAACGTAAGTGATCTGGGAGAGGGAGGTATACTTTAATGTTTACTTGCACAACTGTGTAAAAATGACTGGATAGAGCCTTGAGCAGCCTCGCCTGATCTCATCATTGAGCCTGCTTTGAGTAGATCAGACTAGAGACCTCTTTATGCACCTTATCTGAATTATCCCTGAGTTAATTGAAAATTAATATGCTAACCTTAACAGTGCTTTAATACTGTGTTACCTGCTGAATCATTTAGGGAAAATTAAAGCATTATTAGGCACAAGGGTTTCTGCAAGTGGATAATTAGGAAAAGTACCTTGAGTTATGCTTTGACAGTAGAACCTCATGGTGGTTCAGTTACGCAGCTAAGGGCACAGCAAAATCTGTGCAGGCTGTGCCACTGGAAGGAAACAGCTTAATTCCCAGATTCTGGTGCAAGTTTCCAAAAATCAGTGTTAGCTACAGAAGAAACTTCTTCTATCTAAATTAAAGACATTTTTAAGATCTACTGAACCTGTGTTGTGGAACTTAGTGAAATTCTGAAGAGACAAAGTAAGATAAGTACTGTATGCTTTAGTTTTAATTGTATTCAGAAATGAATTGTGCTTTTTAGTTTGCTTTAGCTTGCTTGAATTTGTTAACACTTGTCTTTTAGGAATGGAAACTGAGAATTGAAACTCTTATACTGTTGTTACAGTGTTTTGCTGTTTTGCTTTTTTTAATAATCACACAGAGCTTCAATGTTCATGCTTATGAGGCTGCTGGTATATTTTAAACTTAAAATATGTACCTAATGGATACCTGTCTCCATGGAAAGGCTATGAATTGGCACTTAACATATTTCCTGAATGCAAGCCGTACTACTGCACTTTAGAAATTGTCAATGGTTATCTAATTTGTTAATTTTTCTTGCTCTGCTTTGCAGGAGCAGGTAACGCATCCTATAAGCATATTTTTGTAAAATGTTTGGGTCTTCTGGCAAGAATGTGATTGTATACTTACTGGTTAAAAAAAGCATAATGATAATGTAATTACGTGACCTGCTTTAGGAATGACGGCATCCATAGCTTATTTCAAACTTTACCTTCTGATGCTTTCATCTTGGTGCAGGATGCATTGTCAGTGATTACAGCTAGTTAGTCCAATGTTACTAGCATTATTCAAGGTACTGTAAAACAAATTGGAAACTTGCTAGGCAAGCTCATTCTGTCAGCTTCCCTTTGAAAAGTCCGTGTTTGATCTGAGCCCATTTGTACTTCTGCTGTAGTAGGCCCCCAGACAGCTCAGACAGCCCACAGTGTCCTTTAGTAGTAAAGAACTGAACTGATTGTGCCTCATCCATGTAAGAACTGCTCATGCAGAGTGGATCATACCATCGATAGGAAAATGTACTTCTTGGGAGCCCTAGTTGAGGGCAAACTAGAACATTGCTAATGAGCAACCAGCTCACTCTCAGTTAACCCAAAATCAAGGATGGCAGTCTTTCGTCAGTCTTCTGTGGCAATCTTTGTACTAGCAGAGATTACCTTGTTCTGTACGTTTGGTTGAAACTACTGAAAGTTCTTGAAATTCTTCTGTCTAAAATCCAAGATGGCCTTAATTGTAGTTTGGTAAAAAAATTGAATTGTACTGTTCTGCATGTAATCCTGAAACTGCTTTACTGCGCACTTGTAAGCGGTGATTAGGTTCCTTCAAATGCAAGTCACTTTTGACAATGGATTTCAGTTTCTAAACTGAGAATTTAAAATAAGTATGGATAGTTTCATAAAAGAAAACAAAGAGTAAGTGGAAAAAGCCCCAAATATAACAGCTCTTAATTTGCACTGATAGCCTTGAAATAACTTGGTTTGGATAATTAATGGTCTGGTCTTACTGTGCAACTTTTTTTTGAGCCTCCGGGTGATGATTGCCCATTTAATCATTTTGAACACCATGGAAATGTACTGTTACAGATGCAAAGCAACTTTTATCCAACTTACATGTAAGTTGAATGTTTTAATTTACTACAAAAGTCTTTTCATAGTGCAGGACTGTTACAAGATAATCATGGCAAAAAAAGTTGTCCTTTTTCTTTGGACATGGAAGTTTTTGTGACTGTACTACCTGCAATGATACTGAAGTTGGTAATTCAGTATGGTTGTTTGGAAAAAAAGATAGCATTGTTCAAATTTTTGCTATTGCAGTCTAATCTAGAATTGTCACAGTTCCCTCAAAGTGGGAAGGTTAGCTTTGCTCAGAGAAATTGGTAGTGGTTCAGCACAGCTCAAATATATTTTAAGGAAAAAAGGTTGTCTTACTGTAACTTTGTTTTTTGTAGGCGCATTCTTCACTCCAAAGGAGAACTGAGTGAAGATCGACACAAGCAATATGAGGAATTTGCAATGTCCTATCAGAAGTTGTTGGCAAATTCTCAATCTCTTGCTGATCTTTTGGATGAAAATATGCCTGACCTTCCCCAAGAGAAACCAACACCTGAGGGTAGGCATCTTCTAAAGCAAGTAAACAGCATGCTGGACTTGGCTTGGATGTGTTCCAAACCCTCTTACTGATGCATTCTTCCCATTGATTCTTTTTTTTTTATGCTTTCCCCCTTAAGGATATCAAAGAATGAATAATACATAGGTTTTCATTAAAGTAATTCATGTAACTGTAACTATTGTATATGCTGTGTAGTTACAGTAACTTAAGAAATACCTATTTAGACTTGTTTCGGGTAATACAGGAGTAAATGGAGAATTAAAAATGTGTTTAACCTAATCAATTTCATGTAATGCATTTTTTTAAATATTAAAAAACTGTATATGTTAGAGTTTTAAAAGCTGATATTGTTAAAAAACAAATTTGAAGTATGTTTTGGGTTATGATGTTATGAGCAGGAACATATTCTTAAGCCAGGTAAGTCACTAGATGGCTCTCTGACCTCCTGAGAAGTCAACATTTAACTGGCAGAGCTGTTCAATGCCTTAATGAATCTCTAATTTTAGGTTTCAAGATGTTGAAATCATGACTGTACTTTTTGTCTGAAGTGATCTTGAGCTTAAAAAAGCTGTATTTTTTTAATAGCCCTAAGTTTAAAATTATTAACTTCTATTCTTAAAATACAGTGAAGTACAGTTCATCATGCTCAAAGCAATTACTTTTTATGCTAATGTGGTTAGTCTGTTACAACTTTCTTTCTAATACCGCATAATGTGCTGCTTGATTTTATTTGATTGACTTTCACTCTTGATACTGTTTTCCATCAATGCCAAATTTACAATTTTCATGTAGTTTATTGATATATCTATTACTAAGATTGGATTGTTAAAAGCACTTTATATGGTGCAATATTTAAGTGAAAACAGTGGTAGTAATAAATAGGTTAACATGTTTCTAAAAGTATTTTTTTAGTCTTTAAAGATGCTTCCATTTAGAAGGTGAAACATTTGTGTGAATAACTTTCTTGTGGTTTCACTATTTTTGCAGAACATGGACCTGGTATTGATATTTTCACACCAGGAAAGCCTGGAGAATATGACCTGGAGGGGGGTATCTGGGAAGATGAAGATGCTAGAAACTTCTATGAGAATCTCATTGACTTAAAGGCTTTTGTGCCAGCAATTTTGTTTAAAGATAATGAAAAATGTTCCCAGAACAAGGATTCCAGCAAAGATGAATCAAGAGGTAGAATGCTTAGATGAGTATTTTCTTAACATATTTTGTCCAATAGGCAAATATATAGGCAAATTTGAGGGAAGTAATGAGTCTCTACCAAAATAATTTGTGGTAATCAGAATAGTACACCAGTTTGGATGAATTTTTAGGGAAGAAACTATGTCGGAAAGGGATTGTATCTGGGAATGGCATTTAAGGAAGAAAAAAAGTGCATTTTAATGTTGATAGAATTTCAAGTTTAAAATAATTGGAGATTAACCAATGTGAGTAAATGCTAGCTTTTCTGTGACAAACATAAAAGTTTACCTTCTTTGAAAGATGTTAGTGTTCGTTCTGTTTTTTTCCACTAAATTGTCAATGGTAGCTAACTGTCTTGGTATAAAATTCCAGTAGATTAAAACAACTGGATGGTTCCTCACTTATGAGGCAGCCCTAGGTTCACAACCAGGCATTGGTAGACTTTTAATTACAATGTTTTAAAAATGGCATTCACCATCATGGGCCCAAAGTGTAACAGAAGATGCCTCTTTGGGTAAGAGCAGTGTTATGGCATTGAGGAAATGCCAACAAAGACATGGACTACATGGTTTTCTAATACACATGCAGTAAGTCAGTGTTGAATATTAATGGCATGTGAACTTTCTATAAAGAAGGCCATGAGCTGATTTCTAAATTCTGAAATTTCCCAGTGAGGATAATTAGGTATTGGATCAGCTTGCCCAGGGAGACTGGAACCTCTGCTTTAAGAGATTTTTCAGGACAACTGGAAAAAGGCCCTGAGAAATCTGGTCTGAATACAGTACTCATCGATTTTGAGCAGAAGGTTGAGGTAAAGACCTCACCAAGGTCCATTCCAGACTAAATTAGTATGTGACTTTAAACAGTTTGCTTGCTTTGCAAGTCTGTTTTCCATTTGACATGTACACTGTTCGGTTGTCACATTTTTGTTTGAAAAAATGTAAGTATTTTAATGAGGTTATTTGCCTTGAATTATTTTTAATGAAGCATAGTCTGCCAATGAGGCTTGAAGGAGGCCTAAAAGCATACGAAAATGTTGAAAATAGTAACCTCTTGGAAAAATGCTCTATGCTGGACCAGTGTTGTTGTCCAAGAAAAATATAAGCTATTCATTTCTGAATCTTCATCTAGAGACTGATAGATTACTTGTTTTCAAGGGAAATACAATTTTTATTTGACCTTCTACATAGCATATTATTTCTTCAGTATCTTCCTCCTGTTCTGTTTTTTGCCCTTATTTTGTCTTGGTATTGTATAAAATACTTTACCTTGCTTTGTCAATTTTGTTATCAGTTGAAGTAGGAAAAATATGCTGTGTAAACATTAACTTAGAATTTGTACTTTTGAATCTGAGTCTTTTTGAAAAATGTTTGCGATACTCATTTACTGGGGTTTTGGAGGATACTGTTTTTCTACCTGACCTTCCCAGTATGCAAGTTTTTTTTGCTTGCACTTTCCACATGTTGGCTTGGCAATCCATTTAGGCACTTCTGACCTTAGATTACTATATTTCTGAATATTTTGTTCCGTTTGGATGTATGCATGTCTTCCGATGAAGATGTACCAGGTATAGTTCAGAACAAACCAAAGCACTAAAAACTGTTGGCAATCCTTAGCAGACCCCAATGTAGGTAAATGTTCGCAGTTCTCAGGCATATGGGTAAAGCTATATGAAGGATAACAAACTGCTGAGACCTAACAGATGAGGCAGTATAATCTCAAGAAGTAGCTACTCTTTTCCTCATTCCCTTTTAACAAGACTAAGATGCTAGAGACATAGGTTTAGCAACATGAGTCTTACTATATTCTAATCATGACTGTGTGTATTTAATACTGCTACTTAACTTTTAAATAGATTCAAAAGATGCCAAAGATAATAAGGAAGCACCTGGGAGTGAGGATTTGGAGTTGGAACTGGAAAACCTGGATATTAATGATGATCCTCTGGAATTAGACTGCGGAGATGAGGCAGAAGATCTTACAAAAAAGCTTCTTGATGAGCAAGGTAAAAAGAATTGGTTTTAGGAATTCTTTGTTTTTTCCTGATTTTTTTTTTTTTTTTTTTTTTGAGCCTGATGGTTTTTAGACAGAGTGACTTCAGGGAGAACTATTTATTTCTGTATTTATTAAACTTTAGTAGCTAGAAACTGTTAGGATTGTGGTAAAAAATGCATTCATAACAAGACATTCAGATACAGGTATAGAGGTTTATGTAGTGAAAGTTACCGATTCCTTCATACAGCTTTTAAAAATAATCAAATGTGAAGGCAGTTCTCTTGAGAAGTGACTAGAAAAGTATGTAGACTTTAGTGCATAAATTACTTCTCTCATCACATGGGCTTAGAGTCCTAATAAAATATTTTGTTTTTTAAACTTCAGTTGACATCTAAGATTCAGCTCTGCATTTCAGTCTTGTTAATCATTAAAGACTTTTCTTTTGATGTTATGGCTTTACATAGCAGGATTTAAGAATTCTAACTTCTAATTATGGGTAAAGGGCTGCAAATAGCACCTGTGAAAATCTGCGTTAGTTTTGCTAGGGGAAACAGCATCAAAATGTTTCTTAAGAATTTTTATTATGAGTTACAGGTTGTTCTTTCAGTGGTACTGAACAGTGGGAAAAGCTACCTTAGTTATTAAGAGTCAAACTCATAGAGGAGCAAGTGAGGTGTTTTCTTTGAGCCCAGTTTGTCAGACACATCAGTCTTGCTGCTTTGGGTTTTCAAGGACCAATGCAGATTCTTTTCTTTAATTTCTGAAGCAGAAAAATTATTCTGTGTCTAGGGGCGGGGGGAGGGGGAGGGGCAGAGGGGAAATCATATCTAAAGTACATTGGCTGGAGATTCTGTGGCTTAAAAGTAAAAATCCTACCTGATTTAGTGAATTTATAATCTAATCATCCTCTTGCTTGAAACTGCATTAGGCTTTAAAAGCTAAGGAGTTAAAGCCAAAACTTCAAGCTGTGGAGTTGACATCAACGCAAAAAAGTTCAGGCCCTGGCAAAGACTGTATTGGTGCTTAAAGCTTGGGTTCATGTAACCAAGCTGATGCGTGGATCTATAGGTTTGGGTATTTAGTACCTTGAACAACTCCTCAAAGTGCCAGTCACTCTCAGCTGACAGTAGGGATGGATTACGGCGTATGGATCTTTAAACTGGATGACTCTCTGTGTACCTAAAGCCAGTTGAGCTGAAACTAAAACTAATCTTGGGACTATGCTGGTCTGTGACACCTCGCAAATTCAAAGAAATTGGACAGCTCCAGAGTCAGACTGTTTCAGACCCCTCCTGAAAGGAAACCTGTCAGGAGAATTCTGTGTAATATTTCCTTAGGTTTTTCCTTACCCAGACAAGTTGGAAAAAGCCATACCCTCTTTTGAATAAATTTACCCTTTTATTTATTTTCTTCTGAGTACTCATCAGCTCATGAAGCTGGTTAAGATGTTAAGTTTTAGTAAGTTTAATTTTAAGTAACTTTTAATAAGTTTTAATTGCAGAATGTTCACCTTTAGTGAGTTGTTATCCTCTAGTCAGATCTCAAACAAAACAGTGACGAGCTTGGTTCCAGCTGTCTATAAGGGAGGTATGCATACGTATTCTCTTGGAATCAAAAGGAAAAAGAGCGGT